TATTTTTAAATAAACATAAAAGTCTTTTGTTGCAGTTAAAAGGCATTTTAACTGTTGTACTAAAAGGCAACATCATCATTACCTTCATCTTTCTTTCAGTGCTGGTATCTGATTAAAATTATATAAACTGAATGGAAAGCCTTATATTCAGTTTATATTCCTCTGGAAGATGCTGATACTGTCATATTGACATCTTTTCAACTTGTAGTGGTGATGGATTAACTGGTCAGGTCCACTTTTCTGTCTGAGGCTGTTGCCTCTGGAACAGGAGGGACTGGATGGCATGTATTGTCACTCAGGAGTAGTCACACACTGGCATATTAAACTGTCAAGGATGGATGTGATCTGTTGTCTCTGGAAGTGCTGCTTACAGTTTCAGGAAAAGGTAGTGATTTGGCAGGAGAAAGTCTAACCTGTCCTTACCAAAGTGTGAGCAAGAGATCATCCAATGTTCAGCTATGCTTATTACTCTGCCTTTAAGTGTAGAGGGCAGATTGGGCAGTTTACAAGCGACAACTCTAGCAAGACTTGAAAAGGATATTTGAGTGATTACAACCTTACATTGAAATTCAAATCCTTAAATGCATGATACAGCAATAGCTTCACAAAACTGCAGGGGGAAGCAGATGATTACTAATGGATGCCTTAGAAATAGAACTGGTATTTGAAGCTGAAAAATATATTCCTTATCTGTTTAAATTCCTCGCTTCCATGCACCCTTTGAACTCCAGTAATTTTGAATTTACTTCTACTGGGTGACCTTACAAAAGGGTATATGAGATGCAGATGTGCATTGTCACACTGTATAAATAGCCTTACAGAGAAGAGAGAGTACACATTTGCTGCTCTTGACAAAACTGAGGCCAAGAACAATTCCCTAGCAAAGTTAAATCAATTGATCAAATAAAATGCATAGGAACAGGCAGAGGAAGCATAGTTTGAGGCATTACAACCTGAGGGTGTTTGTCCTTCAGCTCTCACCAGCTATATTTAAGGATTTTACTTCCAGCTTATTATATTAGTTACTTTTTAAACAGAGAAAATTTGTAGATTTTCTTCTTTAATAGTATAATAAGGCTTTAGTACTTTTATTTTTAATGCAGAGGGGTTTTTTGAGGTCCAGGGACTGTATTTGATGGCCTTTCTTTTGAATTGTTTATTGCCAGAAGGTCAGGCTGTCTTTCCTTATTACTTCAGTCCTTAATCTTCAGTACCTCTTGCTTGCCAGGCAGATTTATGTTAAAAATCCTGATTTCTTCATAATATGGATGATTGTAATTCAGTATCCAAATCTGTAAACATTTCTAAATGGATCCTTTAAGAATCTTATTACCAGTTAAATGTAGTTATTTTTTCTAGACTTAAAAAAAAAATTTTTGACTTCGTACATCAAAACTAATGCCTCTCTGACGCTTGGAATTGCCATCTTTGTGTTAATAAAATTGGCAAAACCCAATCCTTAATATTTGGCTGTCTATGAAGAGCAGAAAACCATAATAGAGTGTAAATTGGGGAAGCTGTGGCTGACCCCGATGTTGTGTATGAGCAGCCTCAGGGAATGTAGTGGGTCAAGATGTCTTTTCCTTAGGCAGAGCATTCTAGGAGTTCAGTCTGACCTACTTCCCTCCTGAGGAAAGTGTAGCCTGCCCTGCAGCTACTGAAATCTTTTCCTGAAAAATGAAAGGGTGGGGACACTGAAATGACAGTGTGCAGAATTTGTCCCAAGGACAAGTCACTTGCAATTTTTTCACTCTCGGCTGATAAGATCACAGTAAACTGATGACCAGTCAGTTTGCAATTGTCCATCCAAGCTGGAAATTTAGCATACTTCATGAGGAGATTAAGTCTTCTAACAGTGCTTTAGGTTTTGCGTTGGTTTTGCTTGCTTGTGTGTTTTGTGGTTTTGGGGATTGGCTTTTTCACCCTGAATTTGAATAGAAGACAGCATCCATTAGAGTGGTCCTTTCAGGTTAAATGTAAATTCATCCAAAATAGTTGATTTTCACTGCTTTTGTGTTAGGATTTTCTGTTAAAGAAATGTATATATGGAGGAATAGATGATGCATGTATTTCACAAACACACAGTATGCTTTAGAGGGCAGTACATTTAGGATGTGACATGGCAATATGTGTGCTTTTACATTTTGTGGAATTTGCTTTTATGGATAGTCTGCTACTATGTATTGCTTAGGAGTCATGCTTTAAATGCAAATCCAGAATGATGCATGAGACTCTATAGACTTTATATATAAACTTTAGCTATAGGCTTTACCTTTGTGAAAAATATGGTGAAAACTTGTACAATTTGGATCTTGAGGGACAGCCTGAAATCCATCATACAAGGATATCTTGAAAGCGTTGGTCAGGCTGTAACAGAAATACTGGTTTTGAAGCAGGACTGCATTGCTTGCATTGCTGCTTTCCTGAGTAAGCTGCAAAGCCATATACGGTGTTCTTAGCAATGCTGCTGGCTTCTGAAACATGCTTAGACAACACCTTTTCTGGTCAAATAGTCAGAAGTGACCGCAAAACTGTCACTGACATTTGAGTGCCTCTAACAGTTATGTGACTAATAGCCTCTGTCCTTCAAGTTTGATTTGCAGGCAAGAGGACATGCCAGGGAACAGGCTCTCGGAGGAGGAGTTATATGAATCATCAGCTTCCCAGTGTGATAGTTGTTAAACTCTTCCGTTGCTCAGAACTTTCATCTGCCCATGTTTCCCCAGGGAATATGGCCATACAGCCACCTTGGTCTTTCTCTGTGCTGTTGGAGGTCACAATCCTCTTGGCTACCTGAGAAGTAATCCCACAGTGGAAGAATTTTTGTTTTACTCTTTTTTTTTAGGATAAAGCTTATTCTCCTGAAGCCTTCTTGCTGCAAATCACCTTTTATGTTAGCATTTAATACTTACCTGGGGTAAACATTTAATATTTTGTAATAATCTTAATAGAATGGAACAACATAATGATAGTATAGGTAAAGCTTTTCATCCAGTTTTCCTTGATTTTAGGGTTTCTGCATCAGGAGTACTGTGACCATGCTGTAGTTGTCATTTTATTCAAGGAAAGCTCTTTCGTTACTGTAGAGTTATAACTCTACCTTATGCAACAGTGAATCGGTTAATGGCACTTAAAGGCCAGTTCTAAATAGGTCATGAGCAATGAAGTCAGTAGGGCTGGTGTTTCAAACATTTCTTTTCTTGAATGAGGCTTGTCTATGTAGATCTTTCATGTTTTCCAGTAGGATCATACTCTCCAAATCTGTTCTATGCTGAAACCTGGCTGCTTTGTTCACTGGTATGAAAATCATACCAGTTCTGTTCTGCTTTCATTATATGCATTCAAGATGTTAAAATTTTCTTTCTGTGGAAGGCTGACTGTGTGTGGCAGTGGCCTCACTGGAGTGGAGCTATTCTGTCTGGCACTTGGGAAGTTTGGGAACAGCTTTCAAATGTAGTTAAGCACTCCCTGAGTGACTAGCAGAATCCCGCATAGACGATTTCATGCTTTTGCCCTAAGTGCCTAAATTTGTTTGTATGCTCATATTTAGAAAGCACCAAATGGCTTGTGTACATTGGTGCAAGTGACATTGTGGAAGAACTGCTGTAGGTTTCTCAGTCCACACTGGAGGCAAGCCAGTTTCTAAATAGTATGTTTTGTCTGACCTGTGTTTTCTTTGGTTTTGTTTTTTAAATATGAGAAGTAATGAGTATTAGAAAATGTTTACTAGGCAATAGGAAAAGAAAATACTGATCTAGGCATATATCAAAAGGGTCAGACGATACTTTGCTGTGTAATTTTGTGTGTCACAACTGAACGCCATTCCGCTGAGCCTTGTTTTCAGATCATTGTGATCTGTTAGTACTAAGATGGTAACAATGGTCAGGTGAATTAATTTCTAAACCTAATAAAAGCAAGAGGAGAGAACCTCTGATTTTGTACTGTTTGTCAGCTACTTGGCATCGCTGTGAGATGGTGCAGCGCTCTACAAAGAGTACTATATTTAGCTGTTTCCAAGGAGATGTTCTGTGCGATATTGATAATTGCATTAATCCTTGATTTACACAATCTGCAGGAAGGGAAACTGCTCCTTTTCCTAGTGCTGGCTTTTTAATTCCTCAGTGATCTGTAATTTATAGACACCTCGATGCAAGTCCTTTGTATATGCACGTGTGTTGAGGGCAAAACCTGTGGTAAAATGATCATTTTTCTGTCATAGAAATGATTCATGAACATGAGCATTGGTTTTTGATGTTACTGTCTGGCTTATACTGCTTTGTTTTTACTTGTGTGAGGTATGTGTACATGTGAAAGGCTTCCATTGTAAATAGATTGAAGAGATGGCTTGGTGACATCCTGTGTTTTCCGTGTTAAAGGCTAAGAGCATTCATGTCAACTTCACTGCTGCCAAGAGTACTGTTAAGATGTTCATGGTTGAAAACACAGCTCTGCTCAGCATGTGCAATTTTCAGAGTATAACAGAACAATCATCCTGTCTCTAGGTCTGATGTTTAGTCACTGACTTCATAAGAAATTTTTCAGCACAGTATCATCCATGGACCTGTTTCTAATGCAGTCAGCTCAACGTGCTTTGTGCATGTAACTATGAATTTCAAGGAAACCTTTAAGACTTCATCTAAAATATATTCTACGTAGTTGACCTGCACTGATGGAATTAAATTGAGTTGGGAAAGAAGGAGCAAACAGCCAGCTAAAAAGCTAATGTATTAGTTTAAACCATGTTATTCACTATGAATGCTCTTTCTGCATTTTGTTGTCCATGACTTGGAGCTTTTTAATTGCCTTGTTCTACTGCAGTGTTTCATGGATATATAAGGTATGTCATGTCACAGTGACTACAAGCAAGTGATCTTGGTGCTACTTAAAATTCTTCAGGTTCTATTTTATTCTGATTTCCATTCATACTTTATTTGGAACTGCAGCTGACCTACTTGTTCATTTCAATTAAATACTTTGAGACATTGTCTTTTCTTTTGTAGAAAAGAAGAAAGGAGAGCACAACGCTGAAGGAGAAGGGAAATGAGCAGTTCAAGAAAGGAGGTGGGTTTATAAGAGTCTTTTAACACCATGTGGATGTTAGAGAATCTTAATTAATACTTAGGTGATGTAGAAAATTCATAGGAAGATTTCACACTTACCATTGTTCAGATTTATAGTCTATATCATTTTTCATCCAGCTCTAGAGAACAGAAGGAGATAGGAGACCTCCTTAAGAGTTGAAATCACAAAGACTTGGATTACTAAAGCAGAGTTCTCATGAAAGCCAAGTGTTTAAATCTAAGAACATAATACAGAATTTACTGGTTTCCAGTGCCAGGATTTCTTTTGCTAATCAAAAAAGGCTTCCACTAAACTTTTGAGTTTTGCTGATGTGTGTGCTCAGAATTGATGCAGGACTCAGTGGTTCAGTAGCTCTTATATCTTTGTACATGCTTCTTTTTCTCCACTGGCTCTATCTGTTGTACATTTCATTTGTGTGTGTGCGCGTGTATCTATACAGACGTCTATATACACATATGTACATCTATATGTACTTCATATACATATACAAATGTGTATATAGAGACGTACACACATGTATAGATGTAACACAAATACACATATTTAAAAAATCTAGAGGCAAGTACTTTTCTAGTTTATGCTACAACTGGACGTGTTCTGAACATAACAGAAGGGTTGACCTCAGTAATAAATAACTGTACCGATGCTTTTAATTAAAAAGGGGGAAGTGATTTTGACACCTGCTTTCATTTAATGTTCTGGTAGGTAGAGATTTCACAAAGAAACCAGGAAATGCAGATTCATATTTTCTTCAGTCAGCAGGGACACAACCAAGTAACTTCGCCTTTCTAGAAGTATATCCTGATTAGCAAGACAGTGGCCTTTCTATTGGAGGTCTCTTACTGGGTGCTGAAAAAGCAAGATTCCTGGGGAATGATTTACCAATTCAGGCAAACATCAGAGCAGGCAGAAGGGAACTGCTCAGACCATGAAAGCAGCAAACCTGTAGTTTTGGCTGAATCATCCTGTGAAGTCTTATCCTTCACATGTAGTCTCTTCTTGACAAATTCTTTGGCAGATCTTTTCAGTGTGCCTGTGCCTGCCAGAGTGCTTACTAATGAGAAATACACAACCTTTTAAGCACCTGTATGGTCACCAGCTAATGTGCACAGCAAGAATTGCTCTGTTTTGAGGCCAATGAACTTGTCAGCTGTCAGGGCATTGATCAGTCTGTTATAGGGCCTTTTCACTCCTGACTCTATCTTTATTGGAAAATGCGTAACTTGATAATCCCACGTGGTTTACCACTGGTCCTTGCTTTAAACCAGACTTGATGACGGATGACCTTCAGGTGATAATGGGTTTGTGGTGACTGACCTTGAAGTCAGTCATTGAAGATGATGTGGCAAATGAAATATCCCTGTAGCTGCTTTGAACAGATATCAGTGCAATGATGTTTTTCAGCACATGATTCATTTCAGATCAAGGATATGCTTAATCTAAAGTGATTCTACCTCTAAGGCTGGTACTCAAATAGAATGAAACAATTTCAAGGATAAGAATTATATGCACATCATGCTGCATTTGTTACAGTAAGCTCAGTACTATATTTCTGCTTTTACAAAGGTGTTGATTTTAAAATAATGAATTGTCATTGATCTGTGTACTACTTAGTAATGTAGTTTGTCTGAGAGCAGCTACTGATTCTGCTTTAATACTGCATCATATACTGAGAAGTGTTTCGAAAGAAATCCTAGCCATGTGGTTCACTAACTGTACTGGAATTTGAAATAAATGGTCTGTTTTAGTCTTTTTTGCTATTGCATCTGCAGACTTTGGAGAGGCAGAAGACTCTTACACGAAGGCTCTGCAGATTTGTCCAGCCTGCTTCCAAAAAGATAGGGCTGTTTTATTTTCAAACAGAGCTGCTGCAAAAATGAAACAGGTGAATATTTTTTTATTCTATGAAACACCATGTATTGATTATCTGACAAATGCAGTAATGAAATCATTAGGGGTGTATGAAGGAGGGCAAAGAATAAAGCTGTTTGTTCAGTCTGTCATGCTCCCAGTAGAAATGCTCTTGGTTTTACTGAGGATGAATACAAACCTGTTAGAGTTGCCACTGGAACAGCTGTTCAATGTTGCTCTGGTGCATTATGTTTAAAACACTAATTTTGCTTTTATTTCCTCTGTTTTAATGAAATTCAAAGTTCATGTCTACAAGCATGTTCACAATGCACAGACAATGTATTGAATTGTTTAGAATTATAGGTAGTTAGTGGTTTGGTGTTGTTTTTTTTTCCTAAAAGCCTGGATTGTCATATACTTGTCATTACTTAATTTGCTCAAATGCTTTGAGGCATAAGTAGCACTTCCTAACTTTATTAATTGGCTTTATTCAGTTAGTCTGCTTCCTACATGGTTCCTTTATAACAGGTCAGACCTATGTAGTAGCGAATGGTATGGATAGAATGGTTATGGCTTTCTTGCTGTGTTTTTTATTCCATGACCAGGGACAAGGAAAAAAATTGAATGAACTGAGATACCTCCCCATAATCCAGATGTTAACTATTCATATAACTGGAAAACTAATCCAATAGTCCCCAAAGGAACCCAAGGTGACAGAAAAACTGCATGTACTAGTGTATCTTGCCAGTATTGGTCAGTGAAACTTGACAGACTGATACATTACTCTGAAAATGGGTTCATGCTATTAATATTATGAATAGCTTCTCCATTAAATTTGTTCTTCCATATCTGCTGCACCCATTTGCTTTGCACTATGGTAGAAGCTTGTGAGGCAGATTTTGTTTTATGGAGAAGATAGTTCCTTGGGTGTAGAAAGATTACAGCTACTTAGATCAACGATACAAGCACAGAATAGCCTGATGTTTTATTTATCCTTTTATGCCCTTTTAGTTTGGGTGAAAATAAGATCTCTGTCTCAGCTCTTTTGCTTTCTTGTTTCATTACAAGCAGATTGCCTGGCTCTCATCTTCTAACTATGGTTGTGTGGGTGCACTAAAATCTTGTCCCTACTACTTCTGGACGTCTCACGCATTGTCCCTATCAGCAAAAGCTGTATTAGTGCTGAAGGCAGTGTCTGCTTTCCAAATGTCTTAGCTCGTACAGACAAGAATTTATCTGTGATTCTTGGGAAATGCCTATTCCAACCCCTTAATTAATTGACAAAGGTAGAAAAGCTGTAGCTCAGCTAAGCCAAGGCCTGCAGATGTGACTCAGCCTTTTGACTGGAGCCTGCTGCTGGCTGTGCAGTGCAGGCAGATTAGTGGGGCAGCCCTGCAATTTGAACACTGGCAGCCTTCACAGAGAGGAAGCTAATCACTGGTAAAGAGCTTTGCATCAGAAGCAACGGTATGAAAAGCCTTGATTACATGAACATCCCAATTCCTTGGAATGCCAAACTTTTTTGCTTACAATTGTACATAATCTGTTTTTGCAATAATTTCCAAATAGGGTTTTAATATAGCAAAACTATTTTGTGTTCTAGGACAAGACAGAAGCTGCCCTAAGTGACTGCAGCAAAGGTATGATTTTTTCTTGTGTGCTGCTTTTGTGCCAGATCTTTCATGCATAAATTATGCCATTTAGTGCCTTACTGCAGTGCTGTAAATTTGGGCATACAGGTCTTTAAAGAATTTAAAGAAAAGCTGTGATGGGAGACACCTGAATCTAGACTTACAGTATTTATTTTGTAAAATGTCTATCTTTTCCTGTCTGAAATAGTTTACTTTCTATTATCTTGTGCCAATAAGGCTGCTGTTTGTACTTCTTCATAGGAAAGTCTTTTTATTAAGGAAGCTGCTTCCTTATAGCTATTTTAAAGCTGCATCCACATGCCATTCCCCCTCCAAATCTTGGTTTAATCCCAGATTCCAAAGAACCATGAGGCCTTACAGAATTAAAAGTATCATCAAGTCCCTTTTATGCATGGCTTTTGCTTTATCACAAGGGCTTATGCTCTCCTGTGCTTGTTCTGCGTAGTTTTCTCCCTGCAACTTGTGGTGAAATCATTTCAGCTGTGCATTGTTTTATTGCTGCCACCCACTCATCCGTGCTCAAGTATTTGTTAAACTCCCTATGACAGCTGGGGAAAATATTCCAAATCCCCAGTCAGAAAACTGATCCAATGGCTGCGTGCCAGTGCTGCTTGTACAGTAAACAGGAGTTTATACATGCTCAAAGTACTGTTGAAGGTAACAAATTCTAGCCGGCCTCTGCATTTTGGGGGTTTCCTTGTTTTGATGGTGGTGCATTTTGAAAAACACTTCTGATTTTGTAATGGCTGAAAGGCACTCGCTCTGCTTTGCAGCAGTGAGACTTGACCTACCAGCGCCTGACATTCCCCAGGGACTTTGATTACAAACTGCAATGCAACACTTGGAGCACAGCAGAGCAATTCACACTAACCTGCAACTTGCTGACTGTAGCATTGTCTTTGTCCTTCCAGAAGGACTGAGCTAGAATATTTAGCTAAATAATCCTAATTTAATTGTCCCAAGAGCAGTTAGCAATTATCAAATGGGCAGTCTCTCATATTCCCTCTTTTTGTGATGAAAAATGGATTAAGATATTTCTGAGAAATTACAGTTTGCAGGTTACTGTTAAGTTTAGCATTCAGTCTTAAATGCATCTGTAAACAGGGCTGCCAAGGGAATAAGGAGAGGAAAAGCTTAAATTCAAACAGTATGCCCCTCTGCTAACTTGTAGAGCTAATATAACTGTGGATTCCCAACCCAATTTTGACTGCTTGATATTAAATTCAGAAGAACACCAGAAGTTCTCCTGGAGTTTGTCTCCACTTGAACTGAGAGAATCAGAGAAATGCTTATTTTTCCTGCTCATCATAGGTATATTTAACTCTAGTTGTAATCTAACAATATAAACTTCTTAAATATACAAAAGCTGAAAGATATCTTACAGGTCCTTAAAATTTCTGAAGTATCAACAAAAATACAGTATTGCAAAATTAAATGTTTGTGCATTATAAATCACTTCTATCTGTGATAGATTGTAGACTTTAAATGAAACATGATCACTTGCATTAGACTTTCACAGGCAGATGTATGCCTTTCTGAAATATTGCTTAGCTTTTACACTGACTGCCCTTGATTCTAAGCTACATTATAAAAATGACTATTAAGAATGTAATACACACTTAAGAATTCATTTGAAGGGTGTATAAATGTTTCAAATAAAATACTATGCTTTGTTTTTGTTTTCTAGCAGTGGAATTGGATCCTAACTATATTAGAGCTTTGCTGAGGAGAGCAGAACTATATGAAAAAACAGAAAAACTAGATGAAGCTCTGGAAGATTATAAGGCAGTCCTAGAAAAAGACCCATCGGTTCATCAAGCCAGAGAAGCATGCATGGTAAGCCTTTTTAGTATACTTTGGCTTCACTTTAAGCCAAGGTCTTGTCTTTTGTTCCTGTGCACACACACACCATTCTAGTTTTCTGACTGAGGCTGTTAACTGTATTTTTGCATGTTCTAGAAAAGGTTGCCCAAACCACTCATGCATTTTAGTAGCCATCACTTTAATACGGATCTGCAGTTTGGGGATCAGATACAGTTCTTGCTGGCTGTTTAATTGTTTGGAGTCTTGTTTTCAATAGAATTCTTTCCCTGATTCGTAAATTTGCAGTTGAATACCTTTATGGCATAATTATAAAATAATTACTTTCTTTTTTTTTATGACTTGATTATGTAATTCTGGCAACGAAAAGGATTCCATCAGCCTGTATCTATGTTTGTATCTACTTTAGAGTGTTGATATTTTTGTTTCTTCATTTAGCTGTTTTCTGTTCTTGTTCTTTGCGATGTCTTGTGTGTGTATTGGCCACTTAGAGTTATTTTACTAATAGTGACTGAAGTCTACTATTAGTCTTCAAAAACTTAGCCTTTCACTTGAAGAACAAGGCCCTTTATGGTTGCTAACAGCAGTCTCTCCTGAATTCAGTTACTTTTTATTCATTCTTCAAAAGAGAACTAAAAAGATCTGCAGCTCAGTACTGTGTTCCAGTGTCCATTTTCACCACTTTCAATCAAATTACAAATACTTCAGGATTAAACATTTATTGCAGAATCTTTGCCATATCTCTACAAGTGTAAGGAAATGCTTTAAAAGCTTCCTTTGCCTTTCGAATATGTCAGCTTGGATGAAAAAAAGGTAACCCCCATGCACATCCTGAAACCCCAATCTAACGTGTAGGTAATCCCTAGTCAGTGGGGATTTAAAGCCACTGCCACAGCCTGCTGATCTGAGGTTTCAAGTAACTCTTTGTGGAACCAGCAGGAAGTGATTTTTTCTAGCAATACTTAGGACGTTAATGCTCAATGTGGAAAATAGATGTGGATTTGACAAGTTCAGAGGGTCTTTTCACAAGGGTAGCAAGAAAGAAAATTTATTTTGTGCAGAAGGCTCCTATGACAGGCTGCTTGCTGTTCTGATTTTTGAAAAGAGGTTATGAAGGCTCTATTGAAAGCACAAATGTCCTAGAGATGTAGCTAGACAGCCTGTGGTTTTGAAGGAACACTAACGCTAATGAAAGGTAGCCACTATAAGAAATACAGTGGTGGTCACTTTTCATCAGTGGGAGCTTCACGTCATGGTAGGTGAATGGTTTGCTAGCACCAGGGAGCCTGGAAAGAGCTGACCACCTTCTGAAGGGAAAACAACATCCAATCTATTCTTCACTTACTTTTTATGGTAAATGGATGCTATTTTGAAATGTAATTCTTATTTGGACTCCCAAATCCTTATGCCAATGCCTGACTTTATATTCAGTTAAATTTTCAAAGGGTGTCATTGTTTTAGTTCAGCTTCACATCAGTGAAAACATTTGCTTCACCTGCCAACTTATCTCTAAAACCACTTTGAATATGTTGATGCAGAAGTATTTTTAAAACACTTAGGTTTGCTTTAATTCTTCATTTGGGAAAATAAATCATTAGTAGTGATTCCTTCTTCCCCTCTCCTTTCCCCATACTATGGTGTTGGTAGTGACAGATTAGAAACCGCTTTTATAGCATATTAGGCAAGAAGCCTTGCCTGAAATTACGTCCTTTGGGACTGGATCAGTTGCCCTGACGGCAGAAAAATATTCTGCTTAACTGTGTAGCTCCTATTAATGGTAAGGGTTTCACAGAACAGCTAAACTGATGTACTAACTAACTGCTGCTTACAAAGCTCTCCAGTTGCTTTCCTTGTGCTAACACTGCTACTAGCTCATGTCTGGCCCTAGGGGATGGCTGGCTCTATACATGAGTCTGTCAGAAAACTAACTCTGCTAAAGAGAAAAATAGCAACAAGCAAAATAACCCAACAACCAAAAAGCCCCAAAGCAAATACTTACATAGTTGTCTTTTTGCAGTCAGATAAGTCCTGCTGCAAATACTAGTGAGAAGGAAAGATGTGGTCAAGGCAGTACAGGGATTGGGGCCATCCCTTTTGGCAGCACCCATTGACAAGGTCAGTTTACTGTACTGTGAAACAACCCCTGATGCTTGTTGCATGCAGCTAGTTGAGAGCAGGAGAGCACTTTATCACCTAGCTCTTGGCAGTGGCTCATTAAATGACAAGCTTGTCAAACATCATTACTGCATGGGTAGTGACTGTGATGGGTCCATCACAGTCTAGAAAAGAGTATTTGTGTTGGCCTTTTTTATAGTCTCCTAGCTGAGACTATGGTTTATTTGGTCCAGGAATTCAGCCAATGAATCTGCTGACTTTTCTAAAGGAAAGCATGGGGTTTACTTTCTGTAGTTTGTAGTCCTTTTAGCATGAGATCAGCTCCAGAGTGAGACCTAAAGTAATCTAGCCAGTTACTAGGTAGAATAGTACTAGCATATAAGGAATGTGTTTTAGCAGCTCATCATACAAAGAACAGCTGTGAACATCATACAAATTGTTATGAACTCCACAGATTAAGACTTGACAGTGCTGTTCTTCTTCCTGGCCATCTTTCAGGAATGTTTTAGAACAATCTGTAATATATTCTTAATTTTTAGAGCTGGGAAGTACAGAGGTTGACTGTTACATCTACCTTCTGTTTCTTGACCTCATTTTACTAGGCAGAGGCTTTAGGGTCACATGTGGTGCAGAATACTTTGTACAAAATGCCCTCAATTTACACTGCAGTAGGATTCTGCCCCTGGGTTGGTCCTGTTCTTTGTCAGGTTGCAGGGTAGAAGCAATCTTCTGAGACTGAAACTTAAAATGCCCCTCTTAAAAAATTAAGGAAATACTGACAGTTAGTTCTACGCTTGTTAGAATATTCATAGTAAATCTCTAAATTTCATAATACAGAAAAAACAGTTCCAGCTCTAATGTTGACTCCCATACGTGGTTAACATATCTAATGTGTAGGAGACTAAGGAGCTTTGCTTTATTATAAGGTAAAGTGCATTGCTCTCTGCAGCGTTTCTCGGCAGCGTTTTTTCCCCCTCACTGTTAATGGAAATGATGCATCAAGAGAATCTGCAAATTAGCTTCTTTCACTGTTAGAGCAAATCTCTCTCCTTCCTGTAGAGAATATATAGAAAATATTTCACATGCTGCTTTAGGGAATGTCATGATCTTGCTAAATGGCAGTTTAAAAATACTAAATGCAGAGTAGTTCTTTGCTTTCATTCCTGATTTGGTAACTTCTTTAAAATTTCAGTACTGTTTATACTGCAGGAGTACAGTGCTAATATTTTGATTTAAATCCTGGTCTCACTTCAGTTACTTTTGACATCTTCAATGCTAAATTAATCAGTTTGAAATTGTAATGTTTTGTGGACAAATAATCCCTACTGGTGCTTTCCCAGAAAGTGTTTAATTACACAGGATCCATCTATGCAGGATCAATTTGGGGGTCTTGTTTTTAGCATGTGGGTAACAGTGTTGTGTGAGTTTTAGCTTCAGCACAGTTTTTGAGGGATTGGCAGGCAAGATAAACTTATTTGCCCAAAGAAGCTGCACTTTGAGATAAGGACAGCTATTTATCTGGTGTCTATGGTACTTACAGACACCTTCCTGTAGATAACTAACCCTGCAAATACATTTCTGGAGTGAGAACTGCTGAGTCTTTCTAATACAAGTATTGAGACAGACAAAACATGGAGTATATATTTCAGATCAAGGATATGTATCTTCATTTCCTGCCAAAGCCCTATGTCCAGATGTGAGAGAGACTTGCTATGTATGCCAAACTCATGCAAGATACAACAAATTGCACAGCCACAGTGCAAACTGAATTTAGAGCCTGGGGATATTCACATGTTTTCATGCAAGCAGCTTAGGTCCAGATCTGCACCCAACTTAATAAGCCCCTCTGGGTCAGCAGGATTCAGATGAGGTCTGACTGGGCTAATTAGATCTGGCTCACTGGTGGTGGTGCTGGGCCTGGCTGGTTTCAGCTTGGCTGGTTTCAAGCTTAGCCATCCATGTATAGCTGCGTTTTATTCCTTAACACTCGTTTTTCTGTTGTTATTTTTTTCTGGGGTATACCACCTCTCTTCCCCACCGCTACAGAAAGTGAACTGTATTTGCCTGCATTCACCAGTGTGTCCTGTATTGAAGAGCAATAGCCAGGCAGTCGTATCCGTGGGCTTTTTCTTGAGGGGAACAACTCGGTTCATTGTGGCAATGACTGGAGCTGTAAATGACAAGAAGACACAAGCTTAGGAGATTAATTCTTTAACGATGTTGAGAAGGCAGTTATCACAAGGGAAGTGTATCTGGAGTGAATTGCCATAGTCTGCAGTTGTAATTAGTTTACTGGTAGCACCATTACAATAGATTTGTCTTATTTGTGATGACCTCCACAAGAAGAGACTGCACAGTTATGCATATAACTGCATGCTGAGCTGCCAGAATTATACAGGAATAAGCATAGTATAAAAGCTTGAAGTAGTACTGCTGAAAAATATGAGAAAGGATGTGTAAAAAGTGACTGTCATTTGTAATATATTTTGGTTTAATGTTGTATTTAATGGATGTATAGAAAATGCAAAATTTAATTATACAATGGTAAATTTAGTTATGTGACTATAAAGTTCTAATTAAAAACGATCATTACAACCGTATAGCAGAGCACCAGTACTGCATAAGGGTGGAAGATGAGTCACAGCTGTTCTAGGCATAAATGGGAAGGAACTGTTAGGAACCAAACTGTTAGGAATGCATAGACCATGCGGTTATGTAATGGTCATTGGAAACATGTGCTAAGTTTGCTTGTGATGGTACAACAGATTTTAACACTGGTGCCAGTTTTGAAAAGGGGAAAAGCATATTAATGAGCTGTTACTTGGACTAGTACCTTGCTCAGGACAAGGTGTTGGAGTTACCTCCCCATGATGAACTGCCAGATCAAGGCTCGCATTTATAATACCCTCTCCTCCTTAGAGCTATGCTATATCTTGCATAAAATCTACTCACTGAACTATGTCCTGAAGTTTGCAGCAAGTTACTTCAGTGATCTTCTGATAAAGTATTTGTATTTAGAAAACCTTCATGTCTTCACAGTGCAGATTTCCCTCAGGTGTTATGCCACTGAGAATGGACTTCATGGATGTTTCCTCAGATGCTGTGCCTGCATAGTCTCTTTACCAAATATAATGCATGCAGCTGAGGAAATAGAGCTAAAATATACTTTAATTGTAAGTCTCTTGAATTCCATAAGCTTTTCAGTTAAAATTCCAAGCAAGCAGATCAGATCTGGTTTTCAGCAGTAAAAAATGCATGCCTATTTGAAACCTGCACTTACAAGTTACAACTTACTGTTTATGTGAACTGATGTCATAGGATGAATTACAGGTTTCCAAAATAAGATGAAAGGGTGGTTTGACATAAGGATTTGTTTTAAGCCACAAACAGTGTATCCTGGGTATGTGCATGAAAATTCCATTAGCTTAACCTACAGAATTACTGAAAGCGTGGGTCTGATTCCACTTTTCATCTCTGTCCACAGCGATTACCTAGACAAATTGAAGAGCGGAATGAAAAATTAAAGAAAGAAATGCTAGGTAAGTAGTGTGTACACATAACTTACAGAATAATCTTTATAGTCTACTAAAAAAGTACAAATGAATGAGTAGAATGTCTTGTAGAAAATTTAAAGAAAAATTTAAAAAAAAGAGCCTTAAAAAAAGACTTAAAAAAAAAAGAGCCTTAAAGCTTTAAGGAAATACTTGTTCCGTGTTAGACGAAACTCCTGATTTCTTCGTAGTTCTCTATTGCTTGGTTTCACCTACAGTAAGTTCCAGCCAGATAATTTGCCCATACAGAAAAGGCTAATAGTTAAAGAAAGAACACTCAGGACCTTCTAAAACAAATCAATATTAACGCATGTTAAAGCAGGGGAAAATGGTTTGAAACAGACCAACTGCTCTGCCCCTTCTCTCTGCAAGTAAAACATTCCCGTGAAAGGGATGAAACAGGGTTTTTCCTAAACCTTTGCGTAAAAGGAGTCGACCAGCTGTGGTAACTGAATGTGTTTGATCTTTTGTCTGAAGAAATAAATTTGGTTCTTCTAATAGCACTTGCAGTCTGTAGACCTCCAAGTCTTCATGTTTACTTTGACTTATATAGTATTTTGGTTCTGTTTATTTGGAGGCTGAATTAGACCTACCCAGTGTTACAAACAGGCATCTGGCTTTGCTAGGAGTGCAGTTAGATTTCCTAACTCATTGTCTCTTGACTTTTTACAACTCTGAACCAAATGATACTGTTGACTGTGCCTGTTTGAGGGAAAGAAATTTAATCAATACAACTCAGTTGAACCTACATGCCTCCATCATCGCGTTCTGTGGTGTTTGTATATATAATATCTGAACTGGATTGATGTATTTCAAATGGATAACTACTTAAATAAGGTTGCCCAAACAAGTCTGGTTTTTATCTGTAATACAAAGGTTAAAGCACTTCCTTGAATCACAGACTAACGGGTTTGGGGGGAAAATGTCCTGCCCGAAAGAAGACTACTGTTGACATTGTCTACTGTCTCCTACTTAACAGGGTTTGTTGAGTCTTAAGAGTTCAGACACTCTATAAGCCAATCTGACAACCTGCTGCTTTTAAAAGTTTTTATTTTTATAGAAAATTTTGATTCGTGCTGTTTAGAAAATCCACACAAAAGAGCAAGGACAGAAGACAATATAAGATAAACTAAGTGTACCTAACCCATTTCATACATTGCTTGCCATAGTTACCGGTTTGCTCATTCTAGGTGTCGCAAGTAGTAGATGAAATGCTGTTCTGAGTAGGCTTTGAGGGTTTGGGATGGGAAAGGGGAAGACTCTTTGCTGTTCTGCAGAGAATCAGGTTAAATGAACTCAGTCTGTCTTGCATACTGTAACACTAACCCTTACAGATATTTTTGAAGACTGTTTCAAGTCCTTATGCTGATATTTTTCTTTTCTTGCTGTGCAGGAGTCTGATTTGCTCTTGCTTTGTACCTGTTTTGACCTAGTAAAGTTGCACTGAGGCTTTCTAGAGCTTTACATCATCAGATTCTGTTTTCACCATTGTACTTAAGCCATAAATAAAGAAGGTTAAGTGTGATAGTGCTAAAAATAAATGACAAATGCAGAAAGTGTCCAGAAGGATCATGACTATTTGTAGGATAGCGGATGAGTTTCAACACAAAGTAATCTGAAAACAATTCCTGATCTTTTTTGAACTCTCCCTTTGTACCATTGTTACAGATGTCTAAAGGGCCTCACTGATCACAAGGGACTATACTGAAACAATAAATCCAGCTTTATAAAGTGTCATTACAAACCTCGTTCTATACTGCTAATCCTTGCCTAGATTTCAGACTGGATGTAATCTGTTTAAGTGTTAATCAGGTGGCAGTTAGGATTTCAGAACTGAACCAGTCTTTTGGGAACCAGTTCAGACTGTTTATATTGGGATTCTCTAGAAAGGAATTACTTCTCAATCATGTTATATACATGCAGGGAGATACACTGATGTTTAATGTAAAATACAGGAAAACCAGGCCAAAAGTAGGGTAGACAGTGTATGACCCTGTGTTCATCCACAGCCTCTGTATGTGACAGGTTCAAATAAATTGTCACAAGTATCATTAAAATTATCTGGTGTCAGCTGGGTGATATTTTACCTGCTTGTGATCTCTAGTGTAACACAGATTGAGAAGTTGTTTTTCTATAATACATTCACTTATTAGAACACTCGAAATTAAGTTAGGAATAAGGGCAGCAACCAGACTAATCTTTTGAGTATTAAAAAGCTCTCTGTATCTTGCCGGTAAGAGAGAGCAGTGATGGGTCTGGCAATGAAGGCCTGGGAAGGAAATACCTCCCAGGGTTTACAAAATGCTGCTGTTTTGCCTGAGGGCAGAGTAAAACACTTACTATTGAAGGGGGATCAGATAGGAGTTCTGTAAGGAAAGACAAACTTGATATAGCGTGATAAAGAGATTTCTTTGGATTATTTTTGTTGCACAATGTATTTGTTTTAAGCTGTTTCAGCTTTTCTTTTTCAAGAACTTCATTAATGCTATTTACCAACTGAGTACTGTATCAGAATAGACAAATGCTTGTGGTAGTCTGTTAGGAGATTATCTGACTGCTGGTTAAACAGTGCCAGGTATGCACGGATTCATTCTTGCTTTCTCACAGGTGGCTCAGCTCAGGTGTCTGGGTTGTACCCAAATGTTTTTTGTTCCAGTAGAGCAAGTCAGATGCATCTTAATAGTTCCAGACTGGGTCTGGTCCAGGAGCACTCACACTAAAACTAATCACCAACAAAATCTTTCAAATGACTGTCACAGTTCATGCTTTGACTCCTTTGAAGTTTGGATATTCAACTGAATTCTTATTTTTGTCAATGAATCAGCCAGTAATGTGGCTTTTCTGTGTTATTCTTTCAACTGAAACTAAGGCCTGCTATGCCCAACTAACAAACACTGTCATGAAAATGAGTTGTGTACAAACAAACTGAAATAAATGGAGTGCATCTTCCTCCTTCCCCAAGCATGTTTCCTGTTTTCCAGTGCTGCAGATCATTACCAGATAGTTTGTCAGAAGCTGAAACCACTTCTTAAGTGATTGTGTGTAAATAAATCAGGATACACATTCTTGGCTGGATTTTTCTTCCAGACTACCTAACCATGTATACTTGTTTGCAAGTGGTAGTGCAGTGAGATTGATGTTGCTAGAAAAAGCGTATTTTGTTACCAAACCAAGTCCATTTCTATTCTGTTCCACAGGGGTCTAACTTTTCCAAAGCTGACATTTGTACTTACTATTTTCATATATTCCATTCAGTCTTTGCAGGTTAGTGCTGCCACTTGCCACTAAGGTTTGCTCGTTGCTGAGTTACAATGTTAAAGAAAGGTTAACTTACAGCACACTTAAAAAATAGCTTTTAAATCCATGTGGCTCTTTCCCTTTATGCTTTCATAATGTGAGCATCCTCTGCCTTAGTGATTGCCCAGGATGTGAACATACACTGACTATTTTCTGTGTTATTTTATTTCTCTTCTGACTTTAAAGCCAGAGATTTCCAGCTATTGTGCAACAAGCTAGTTTTGTTTAGAGGAACTATAATTATTGTGATAACTAGAACCAGCTCCTTTGGGGAGAGGATATGAGAAGAGGGGAAGTTTGGAACAGTTTTAGCAAGGTTTAGCAGGCTGAGAGCTCTGACAATAGTTTTCTGCTTGGCTACAAGGAGAGCCAAGTACACTGGAGATAAAAAACTGGGATAGAACATATGGCAATCTGTGTAACCCATCTTATACACACACAGTTCATCAAATCTAATTAAAAACTATTGGGACTTTCATCTTAAGTTACAAAGGAGTGCATTTTAGAAAACAGAAATGTACTTGGTTATCAGTGTGATTAATGTGAAGGCCTATGGGAGCGTATTGCCTGGGCCTTCGTGCCAGCAAGAGATATTTCCAGCTACTTGAGATCAGCAAAGATATTTACTAGTCTTAGTGCCTAAAGAATTGCTCTCTTCTTTCTTTTTTTGATACTGAAGAGTACATGTTATATTTGCGATAACACTGCTAAACCCCAATACTGTACACAGGGAGGTCACTTTAAATAGTTCAGAGCTAATATAGTTACTTTTAGTTCAGTCCTCACCATTTAGGGAAGGGAAAAGGATTTGCTCTTTTAATTGCTTAAGAAATGTTGTTGGTAATACAGTGAGTTAGAGAAAGATGAGACCTCATCAGGAAATTTGTCTTTTATCCAAGAAAAATTCTTAACCCAAATAATACCCAGCTTTTCAAGTTCCAAACACCACATTAACACTAGCAGCTCTACTGGAAGTTTTGCCAGAAAGACTGAATGGCAGTTACTTTTTGGCTGTTACATCTTCATGTAAATCATGAGAAATCTTTCTGTGAATCTGCCTTTTGCAGCAGGATGTTAAATTGCAGTTTAGGTGAGTAATGAATCACAGACTTCTGAGCTGTGAATTGATCTTTACCAGTTAGTTTTCTTGTTAACCTCTGCTGAAGGAACTTAACATGTGGAGTTCCAGGTGAAAAGTAGACACAGGCCCTCTAAAATGTAAAGAACAAGATCTGTGAAAACACAGTCTCACAGAGGAGAATGTGACCCTGCTCAGGGACAAGTGCGTGTTTGATTGCTGAGAACTCTTTGCAGCTGAGTCACAGCTCCACGTGCCTTCTTCCTTCCTTCAAGCACAGTCTCTGCTTTAAGAGAGCTTCTCTTTGGGGGGAGTGGGGGTTGGACTCAATTTAGGGATGAAAGGAGTGGGGGAGGAGGAAATAGTGCTTTCCTACAATGATGGGTTTATGTGTGCCAAGACAGCAGGAGCAGTGCTTTGGGCTTGAGTTCCCGGAAAAGGCAAAGGCTTGCTTCTGCTTCATTAGCAATTTATGAAATGTGACTGCACCAAAAGGCATTGCTGTATGTGGATTCAAGTGAGAGAGCAGGAAGGTGACCTGTGACTGTATTGTTTTAATTATTCAATCCCAGTGAGATGAGGAATGAAGAATTAAATATATCATATGGTCTTCAGCTTCTCCCAGAGAGCTGGCCTAGCAACAAGCAAGAATACCAAGGCAGTTGTTCTGTGTTTATTGGCTCTAGTACGGCCGGAAAAGAGCCATCCTACTGACTTCAATTAGAAAAGACCTTTCACAGTTTCCTGAAACAGGGAAACTTGTCTGTCTGGCTCTTGAGCCAGCTGCAGCACCTGGAGAGCTTGGGAGCTGTTTACAACTGACTCGAGCAATGCTGGAGTATGCCAGGATACTTCCACCAGTAGACAAAGACACTTCTCACCCCAACGGAAAGCTAAGCATGACCAAATGTTCGCCTAGAAGTACAATAGCAACTATTCATCCCAGCAGAGAGATGCTATGAACAACTTTATCGTTTTATAACCAAAATGGCTTTAGGATGCAGGATAAAATTATGAACTTAATAGTTAAATTAAACAGGGTATAACTTAAGGAAGGAAACCACCATCAGTACAAAGCAGCTCATCTAGTATTAGATGATTTTGAGTTATCTGACTCTCAAAAGACCCATCTTGCTTTTAAATAGTTCCACAAATCTCTGAAAGATACCTGCTTGTGAACCAGCACTTAGATGCAAGATCTCACTTACTATGGCATATTTAGGAGTACTGTAATAATGGTGTTAGTTTTGTTATGCAGGATGGAGTTGTTCTCAGAACAAACTGTTTACATGTTTGCCAGCATAGTCACTTGTTTTCAACCCCAAAGCTGACAGTAACCACATCACAATGGAGATTTTTTTCATTCATGTTGAGAGCCTATAAATACTTAACAAAACTGCAGAGTTTTACACAGCATTTACCTTAAATTAATAGATAAATTGGTAGAGCTGGACTGTGTAGTTGGGCATAATTCAGTGGAGTTTTCCTTCTGCTTAACACTTAACGTGTTCTCTCCCCTTTTCATTGTAGGCAAACTGAAGGATCTGGGGAATTTGGTTCTCCGCCCCTTTGGCCTGTCAACAGAAAATTTCCAGATAAAACAGGATTCATCAACTGGTTCATACTCCATCAATTTTGTTCAAAACCGAAACAACAATAGATAACATGAATTCAGTCTAGTTCTGCTGCCTGTTAGGCTTTGTGACCGTGTGCTTGCACGTACCAGTAGAAGGATGCAGCAAACATTCTTCATGCTCCCCAAGTGAAGATAAGACTCAAGCATATTAATTTCCCTGCCAGTGAAATTATTTACAGTGTGGATGTCAAGCAAGTCATTTGACTTCTCTTAGTGATAACTGTGCCCACTGTGTGATTTTTATTTTCTTTCAATTTTCTTTTCTTCCCTTGTGGCATTTGGCTTTCCCAGCAGTCAGGTTCATTATTTTGGCTCACTCAATGCTGGCAACAACATTCTAGGAAGCAATTCAGTTGAACCAAAATGCTCACGCACCTGTAGCCAAGAACAAAGCTTTATGGTGTCTTGGGGAATTAATGAATCTAGCAGAAGCCTTTCTCCACGCTCAGCAAGTGGATGTGACTGAGAGCATGCATGGAAGCAAGCCAACCTCTTCTGTGGAATCATTTTTCTTTGTAATAAAGGCTTGATATTTCTGTTGGTTTGTGAATGTCTTGCCTTCTTTGAGTCCTTCCCATGGTGGGATTGTTGTTAAAAGTGCTTAGAGCCACCCACAAATAATATACTTGCAAGACATTAATTTGAAGCATTTGATTTGTTTTTGTCTTATTTACAGTAATATCAGTAAATTAAGCTCAGGTTCCCCCACACATCCCAGTTTGTTCACTTTTTATTAATTTTTCTGAAGGCAACAAGGAAATGTTGTGCCTATATACACGTTGGTGTGTAATGGTACTATCAAATCTATTAAACGTGCTTGTCTGATACTCATTCCTATTACAGATATCCATAGTGGCAAACAAGTAAGTAATGTTGAAGGTGATTGCAGAAGGTCTTCAAGGCCTAGTATATTATAAAGACTTTAAAGTATTTATAGATATATATATGGGTGCTGTTGCAGTAGTTAATTCAGACTTTGAAGAAGGAGTGTCTTTTGTAATTGCTGCTTACTGGGGTTTATATCAATGCTGAAATGTTTACATTGGAGGCATATTTTCCTGTTGTCTTCATGAAGATTTCAATAATGATTTAATGAAATCATTAGTGCTGGCTATTGGTTGCTGGTTGTCACCTTGAATTTGTTTCAGGAAGTCTCAGTGTGTGTCCTTAAGGACTGATGTTGTAGCGCTCCAGTCTTTACAGTAATATGCCTGAAAGGAATAGCCTCTCAAGCTGAATTCTCAGTGCTTTATTTCCATTTCTGTCTCTGCAGCTGTGGAGGGTTTTTTGATTGTTGTTTAACTCTGTCCTGCTGCATTCTTTGTTTGGACTTTGCAGTTACCTGTTTGCAAACTATCTCAAGTCTGCAGTGAGGAAGCATTAAGTCTATGGGAAATAAAATGTCACCGTCAAGAGAAGAGAGAAGCCCTAATCCACAGCAAGGCCTGTGCAGCCTCTAACACCGTCTGCGTAATTAAAATGTCACTTAAGTAAATAACAGTGAACAGCCTCCAGGATTTCCATGTGCTGGACTGTAACTGTGCTGTGCTTTACTGGAGTAAAGTTTCTGACGTGCAAGGCTGAATTTCCTTTACTAATGAAGTTTGGGCAAATGGGTAGGGGTTGGATGGGAGGTTTTAAAGGAAGATTTTGCTCCTGAGAGCAGCCAGGGTGCTGCTGGAGATGGGTGTGCCAGGCTCTGGTACCCAGGCAGTGTGGGTACCAGGAGATGTGCTGGGAGAAGAGCGTGCTCACACCCAAGAGGCTGTGCAGGTCTGGGTAGGCTCATTAGCTGTAAAACCACTCTGCTTTGTGATCTGAGCCCTCTGGATTTAGGGGAGGTGTATTAGGTTGGGCAGAGTGTTGGGACTAGCATAAATGTTAATAATGTTTCCTGAAATCTGGAATACTACAGACCAAAGGTGTCCAAGCTGCTTCAGAGGAGCCCTGGGCAGAAGCAGCACTGGGCTGAAGCTCTTAAGTTTGGCTTGTGCCCACATGCTGTTACGCCTGAATCATGCTTCCCTACTTCTCCTTGTTCAGCACAGGGCGGGTAGAGCTGTTGGTTCCTGCTGCTGCAGGCTCCATGTTGCCTGGAAGCAGGAGAGTCTGCATGCCCTTGGAGCCAGGAACTGACTCATGGGCTGCAGCAGCAAATGTTCCACTGGGGCTGGAGCGTGGGGAAAGGAACACAGCTCGGCTTTTTCTCATTTACCAACATCAGCACTAGTCCTGCATCACTCAAGGTGAAACATGAGGTCTGGGCCCTGGGTTCCGCTCAGCTGCAACATATGCACACAGCCTTGAACATACATAAGTAAAACCACTTTGAAGGTTCTTTACATTTTCTATGTATCCTTGTTACAACCAAATAATCACCATCTTTACACAGACAGACACCATGTGTATATATCATTTACCTCTGTATGGCTGTTGTGCAGTTACAAGCAATGGCTTTTAGCAACCTGCTGCTTATCTTCCAGATGAGTTCAGTGACACATTTTCTTCCTTCCGTTATGTTCCTGCTTCACGTCTGCAAATGTGCCTTCTTGAGTGGGAGCTGATTCACTTATTCTGCAAAATAAAAGCACGACAGAACTTTCAAGGTGATTACAACACACCATCAGGTAAGTGTGCAGCTTCCCTGCTGGGTGCCTGATGGGCACCTGTAGTTTTGAAATGAAGAACAAGCGATGCTGAAGGATTGCAGCTGATTCGCTTTCCACACTTGTGTCTAACGTAATTGCATGGTGCAAAAGAGGCAGGTTCGTGTCACTGGAAACTGGGCACACTGTTACCAAGGAATCAAATCTGTATGTCAGACCTACTCGAAGTAGTAAACCAGGAACCTCTGAAATGCCTTATCTCCCATTATAGCACATTTTTCTCTAGGTAAAATTCCAATTAATTGTCTGAAAGAAATCCTTTTGCATTGTCCAAATCCTGAACAATTGCATTTGCTTTGCTTTTTAAGGTTTTTTTTTTCTTCTGTCTACACCAGTCATCACAGCTGCCACCAGAAGGGTAACTGGTACTTCCTCCCGGTGTAATTGGCCACGATTCCACAGCAGTGCCAGGGTGTTTGAGTCACACATGTTGGGCTTATAAAGGAAAAAAAATGTGTTATGAAACATAATGTTTTAAATACAAGTTCTCCTACACCACCAAGTTCCTTGCTAATCTGTTCCAATACTTACTCACCCTTATTGTAACAAGCATGTGCCTTTTTTCCACTTTGAATTGTCTGTCCTCGGCTCCCAGCCTTTGTTCCTTCCTACTCTGCCTGCCAAGTGAAACCCTTTTAGTACCCAGCCTTCTCTCCTTGAGCATGTTTGCACAGAGATGAAGGGGCCCGTTGATCTCTGTAAGCTGAAGAGACAGGGCTGCTGCAAGTCTCCCTACAAAGAAATTTATCCAGGATTTCTGTAATGTTTGTGTTTCAGACCTTACGGTTTTTAACATTTAGGAAACGACATCAGAACTGACACTGAGATTTGTTTCTCTTTTGCTCTGCACAGAAGCTGTGTCCTCTTCTCTGTTTGTACCTTCAAGGACTGTCTTAAACCTTTTGGCAAGAGATGAGCTAAGGTTTAGACCTCCCCTCAGCTTTTTCCAGGTAGGCGAGTTACAGACTCCCTTTCATGCATCTAAATGCAAAATCAAGGCCCACTTCGACTGGCAAGCCTGGCTTACTGAGAAATACAGGTTTTAATGGGTGTTTTTCCACCATGCTTTTGCTTACCAGCATTTCAGGAATGACTTCAGCTTTGCTTCTCAATCACTGATGCAAGTGTCAAAGAACGGGGTCCAGCAGTGATTTGAGCAGAATCTCACAGGAAACATCCCTGTTCAAAGAACAGGGTCAAACTGTTTGAGATCTGTTAGGGGACAATCTTCATCCATGTGTGGATCGTTTGCTTTATGTTGCAGACAGTTATCTGTAGATGCTGCATACACTGTAGAGTGCTATGCCAGGTGATGTGTCTTTACAATTAACTAAGCCTGGTTGAATGACAGGGTCTATTTTTGTTGGAGTTTAATTGCATGTTTGCCTTTAATTCTTTATTAATGGATTTCTGATGCTGTTTTCTGATTCCTACCTCTGTCAGATTAACTGGCCTTTATCTGAGTTAACATCTTTGTCCTCTTGCTTCACTGACCTGCCTGCACCCAGCACGCATGAAGTGGGTGAGCGGGGTGGCTGCTGTAGGTGAAATACCTGGGCTTGTTTCCAGTCCTGTTACTGTTCTGCCTGGTTGCTAAGAGTGGCAAATACATCATCCCACTTGCTTCCAGCTGAAATACCAGCCTCCAGTACCTCTATGGTCTGCAGCAGGCCCCCACCGCATTTGAACACGGTTTTTGTTCCTAATAGATTAAAATTACTCTTGTATAATCCTTACCTTTTCAGTCATTTCTTTTTAAGCTTTGTCAAGATCACAGAAACTATCCCTTTTACCTTCCTATATGCATTGTTTTTTTAACTGCTGCCCTTATATCAGGGTTGAACCTCCTGGTCTATAGCCAAAGATTACCTCATTTTAGCGTTTTAAAAATATACCTATTTCCTTTCACTAGCATCTTGTAAATGTCCATTTTTCTTTTTCATGCCTTATTTCTAATCAAATTTCCCATTTTTTCCTTCTAGTTTTACACTTTTTAAAGCAAGGGTAGAAACGGAAAAACTCCATGCATTTATACGTGGGTAGATGGGTCCACCAACCTCCAGGACACACACACTTTTGTCTCTGAACATTGTGATGTGGCTCAAAGGAACACATCCAGGATCTTATATTAGAAAACCCTTCTAGAAATAATGGTAGGAACCTCGGAGTGTGTCTCCAGCAGTTTATCTTTTCATTACAAGGGCACTTGTAAAGTAGCTCAGCTGTTTTCTGATGGGCTTCTTTCCTCAGCTTTATCACAATCATTGATGCATGCTCAGTAGCCGGTTTAGTCTATTTAAAATAGCTGCTGCTTCTACTTACTCTGCCCCTCCTGAGCAGGTCATACCCAGTAATTGCCAGACCAGTCATTTAAGTCATCCCATTACATTACCATATCCTAAAGATTATGTTATTTTTTCCCATTTATAAGACTGTGTAAGCCATCTTATTTTACAGTAATATTAAGAATGAGGAACCAGATCCTCTCTGATAATTCCATGTGGATTATTTACAGAACTAAATTTCAGATTGTACCCCTTTTCTTACCTCTACCTCTTCACATGTGATGGGAGTGGGATACCAAGAGAGATGTCTTCACCTCCTCTGCTGCTGCTCCAGCCAGCTCCACCTCCTGAATCAAACCTGGACACAGAAGAAGCTCAGAGTGGGTGGTGAGTTAGCACAGACCCTAAATTACTAAATCTAAACTACTACAAACCAGCAGGTGACCTGCCCTGGCAGGGCTGGGCTCAGCCTGCTCAAGAGGACCTTCCCCACAGTGGAGCTCTGCAACACCATAAAAACTGAGATGTGCAGTACCTCCATCTCCACCATCTGTCTTAATTTACTCAAGGCATTGGAAGAATTGCTGAGGCTTTACAAA